CAAAGCATTTAATTTTTTTTACCTGAAATATATTTGACTCATTCATTGTGGTTTCCACTTTCTGGTTGGGTAAACCAAATAAAATATTCTAGATATACGGTCAATATTCAGCATTTCCAGTGTCAAAGACAGATGAATAATATACAAACTGATATTTAACACTGGTAGGCTGGTCACAGAGCTTAGGAAATAAATGGTTAGCAGTATGTTCCTACTGCTGGTAAGCTAACAACTCTCCAAACCTTGTGTGGGAAGGGGAGAAAAATCCTACTTTGGTATAGGATAAAGATGATACAATTCTAATTCTATAAAGCTTTAAATACAATTATGCCTCTCTATATATGTCTGATGCTTATGGTGTTTTGCTGTAGAGCAAGTTTCATTTTTTTGTATAAGAAACAATGTTTTCTCTAAAAGCTTGGGTGACATAAAAACCTGAATTCGAAGCTTTTTCTGAGGCTCTAAAATGTTCAGAACTGTTGTTACTTTAGTGCTACACCAGATCAGTTCAGGAACTGAAGTAATGACACTCTACAAGCAAAAAAATGTTCTTGCTATTTTCACAGCTATAACCAGAAGCAGAAGTGCCAGAAACTTTGGAGAATACTTGTTTGAAAGATCCCCAACCCCACTTCGTAAAATCTCTGATGGATAAATTCAGGTAAACATTCAACTTTTACATGTTTACCTGAACCAGGCCTACAAATAAGAGATAAGAATTATAGTGCAACTCTACATTCAGCATTTCAAATACAGTAAAGAAATGGTTACAAAAATAACTTGAAAGCCTGAAAACATCCTATTGGCCAAACGAGGCTTTCCTGAGTTGTATAAGATGTTATTACACAACTCTGCTTGCTTAAAACATCAGTTTCATTTTGACTATGACTTTGGCTTCACACGGAGGAGCAAAAGGTATTTTAACTTTTGCTAGACTGAATCCTGTAAAAATTCTAGTGAAAACAAGGTAGTTGTTTTACATGGTAGCTGATTAAGGTAATTCTTAAGGCAGACTGCAACTACAATTTCCCTGTCTTCACTGGAATTGGAAAGTGGCTTTAATGCAAAAATAAAATTCACCTGTTAACTCAGTGAAAGCAAGGGCTGTGAGAGGGGTGGCACCGAACTTACTGCCCAGGGAAGGCAAAATAACAAATACCTCTTTAGTATTTCATATGAATTAGTTATGCAAAAGAGGGTTTTTTTTCCCTTTTACCCAGTAGTGACTGAAATTTAAAATAAGTGGCATGAATGTAGCTGGATAACAATGCCCTGAGAAGAAGGTTTCTGACCACTCCCCTGCCCCCCAACCTTCCCTGCATTAGAAGTTAATTTTTGATTTCTTAAATAAAGCTGTAAACCAAATAACTTTTTAGAGCTCTTCCTTCAACCATGCATTCAATATCTCCTATGTTGTGAATACTACAATTGTCCTATTAGTACTGAATGTGAGCAAGGAATTCTGCTTACTGCTCCAGGATTCCATCTGGAAAAAAAAAATAAAAATCAGGATTTGCAGCTGATGTTCCCTTCATTCCTTCCCCTTTTCCACCCATTTTCAGCCTCCCCTGCCACTACTTTCATTCTCTCTGCCAGGATAATAACCACATTTGATCCCTTCTTCTCTAATTACAGTCCCATACTGCCTGGTCTTTTTACAATCACAGCCTGGCCAGCTCTGCACTTCTGTCCCAGTTTCCTTTAATTGAGTGCTTAGTACTGCTCTTGGAATGAAAGCACTGCTCTGCAATGGAACTACATCAGTATTTCCATACGTTGGTATTTACACTTTAAAAGACCCCACCCCACCTCCGCAGAGCCCATGTAATTAGAGGGGCTCTTGGGAGCCAAAGCACCTGCAGTGTCTTGTTTATTTAGTATCCTCTGCTTCAAAATGATGGTGGGGGCGCTTTAACTAAAGCTTGTTTGATGAGCTTTAGTTAAGCACCCCTGCAGCCATTTTGAAGCATAAAGATACTGAATACATGAGATGATGAGGCTGCTGGAGCATGCTAATTAGCATACACTGGATCAGGCATTGGGCACATGTGTAGGTCCCCTAAGGCTAGGCACAGACATTACATATAAACCAGTTTAAAAGATCAGAAACTGGTTTAAACCTGTAATGGAACAGACATTTAGTGCACATAAACCAGTTTAAAAATGGCTGAAACTGGTTTGAGATAAACCTGGTTGAATGTAGCATTAGACTTAACTGATTGAGCTCACCTGAGGGTGATCCTGCCCCCATCATGCAGCTGCTTTGGCAGGTGCTCAGCATGGCTAGCTTGGGCCATGGGGGCAGGGCCACCCCTGGCAACTGTGGCTCCATTACAGCTGCTCCTGGTGCCCTGGCCCAGCCAGGCAGCACTGCACAGAGCACCCCCCTCCCTGCCCTGCAGTGGTGGGGGGTAGGGGGAGGAGGAGGAGGAGGGGAAAGAGGCATCCTGCCTCAGCACTGGATACAGCCCCCCTCCCTGCCCTGTGGCAGTGGGGGGAAAGAGGCTGCCTCTGGGGCCGGGCAGCCTGGCATAGAGCCCCCTTCCCTGCCCTATGGTGGCAGGGGAGGAGCAGGGGGAAGAGCCCCCCTCCATGGCTGGGCAGCACTGCAGAGTTGCCCTCCCTACCCTATGGTGGTTGGGGGCAGGAAGGGGAAGAGCCCCCCCAGCACCAAAGAGGGCCCCCCCACCCTTCTGTGAGGAGGTGGGGAAGAGGAAGGAGGGGGAAGACTTCTCCTCTGGGGCCAGGCAGCTCTGTGTGCCAGGATTGCTCCCAGCTGTCAGGGAGCAACTAGGGCGGGCAGAGCTCTCCTCCTCCTCCTCTTCCCCACCCCCTCCCCAGCAGTCTGGCCAGGGTCCTTCTTCCCCCAGCCTCCGAACCCTGCAGGCCAAAGTTCAGGTTTAAATTTCAATCATACTCAGACCTGCTGATACTCCTCCCCCACTTCCTCAGCTCAGCAGTGTAGAAGGGAAGGGAGGGCTGCTGTAGTACCCTCAGTCTTCTGGCCTGAGCCACTGCAGCATTTCAGGAATGAAAGGGGAATATCCATCCACTTGCAAACCAGTTCAATCTCTGCAGGTTAGACTAACCTGCAAAGATTGAATCAATTCAGGCTTGGGATTTTGAATGTCTGTCTCTACCCTAAAGGGCCAACTTTAAACATTTACAGGAACTGGAAAATTAAAGATGGTCTCTGAGCACAGGTAGCTCTCTATTCCATACCACCAAGAAAAGGGCAAGCTCTCAGCAGCCTAAAAGTCAGCAAGGTCTTGTGGTCCAACTCTGTGGTGCTGCTGTACTGAGGAGACTGGATGCTGCCAGCCTAGTTCTGCCCTGCTGCACACAAAATGTTGTGCCAAATGGCCTAGAAACTGACAGACCTTCACCTCTTAGCAGTCCTTTTCCACACACGCGCTTCTCTACATTGTGCTGCTGGAGAGAACAAAGGCATGTGGCAGGAGAGAACAAAGACATGTGGTACAACAAGGTTTTGTTTAAGGGAAGAAATGTAATTAGTAGGGTAGTCTCAGGTGCCACTAATTACCTCACATCATGGAATATGACTATTAATACTTATGATATCTTGAAGTGTAAATAAAATATGTATATATGTAAACTATTCTGTGCTCAACAGTGTAGGGATTTTAAATATGGAGCATATCTAAATTATTACATCAAACAAATAAATTATTGCCTCCAGAAAGTCTATATACATGCAAAGTCCTAGGAAAAAAATCTCTTCTGTACATGCACCACCCAACCTCGCTACAAATAGTTATATCCAGAAACTGTTATATCTATCTATAGTTGTTCTGACAAACAATACAGTAATAAAAAAATACTAAACTATACATTTGCACAGTAAATGGGGTAATTATGAAAAAAAGTTGTTGAATACCTATTGTATTTCTATGTGCAAAGATTACACTTTGTTGTATGGCTGGTTCTTAGAAAATTGTGACATATCACTATCATACATTGAGTAACAACTTCTTTTCAGGGTGTCAGCACTACAGCCTGAATGTTGTCAGGCCAGAGCAGCTAGAGTAAGAAACTTTATTTAATTATCTGTGGCTCTGATTTATGCATCATTTTGTGTTTCTATCTCTTCATTTTGCTATCCTTTGAGAACTGACCCATTACAAAGCACCAAATTTAACATAATGAACAGAATATTAAAAACCTAGAAAGTTGGTCTATGGACACAGCAGGATCTTCTGATCCTTCATCTACTGTCAGAAATATTGTAGCATGCTAAAATGTTCAGTGTCAGGGAGCACTGAAGAAAATGAAATGCAAGAAATGTTAGACTGAGCTGAAGCAGACTACCAGTTTCTTCAAATGACAACTGGGGCTCTGACCTCCTCCATATATAAGGGCGAAGTTACACTTAGCTTTGACCACTCTAATGACACCGAAACATGAACATCTACACATTAAACTTTTTTTAAATTAAAATTTACATCTACACATTAAACTCATTTACTTGTATTAAGTACCTTCTGTACTTGTGTTAAGTATCTCAAAGTTACACCACTTCAGACAAGGGTTAACTCTGGGCCTTGCTACCTAGCTCATGTCAGGGTAATTTCTTTTTACTCCACAGAGATAAAATGAGCAATTTTCAGTCCTCCAGCATCCCAGGATGCACCACTCCCAGCCCCTCCTCTCCCCCCAGCAAGGGGGCTATTTCCTAGCCACATGCCCGCTCACCAGCCCTCTAGCAGCAAGGTCAGAGCTGAGAAGGAAAGAAACAGTATTCACTCTTAATATGCAGTTACTCACAGCACTTTCTAACAGTAACTCTACTTAGACCACACTAAATCTGAGGAATGTTAAGTGTAATGTTCACCCTTATTTAATTAGGGCCAATGAAATACCACAAGAAAGAAATGCTAACTATAAATAGCTTAACTGTTCCCACATCTCTTGTATGGCTATGGAGCTATTTTATCTGCCAATCTAAAAAGAATAAGGTAGAGGAGTTTTAAATTACTGACCTGTTATTTTCTCCTTTTTCCTTTTAGAATTACCAGAATAGTACTAATCTGGAGCTCAAGTATTTTCTCACTTTTAAGGCCAATCACAGTCAAGAGAAGGGCTGGTTAGGGAGTTTCCAACAGAATACTTTTTCTTTCAGGAAAAAAAAACACAATTTATTGAAAGCCAAACCTTTCACAAAAATGCATGTTTGACAGGTCTTCCAATAGAACCCATACAGGTTTAAAAAATAACCGGGATTCCTGTCACTCACTTGCCAAGCTCCTCAGCAGCCTGCTAAATGTTGCCAAAATATCAATACCTGCAGACAATCTTGGATTTGGGCACTAGTGTGCTCCCAGTCTACAGAGCAAGGTTGGCATGTAGATAAATTTGAGGCAGAGAATTCTGGGGCTTACAGACAATTTAACCCATCAACTTTGCCATCTCCAAGAATCAGGCAGTCTAAAGAACCATCTTCCACAAGATTTAGGCATCCCAGAATGTCAGCTCATCTGGTAGTTTTGGCATCTCTCAGGGGCCAAGCCCATTGCTCTGAGCAGAGATCTTAGAAGAAAGCCTGACAACTGTCAGGATCTAGATTCTTGGCTTTACACTATTGAGGGCTTCTAGGATCCTACTGTACAACTTGGAATTTGGAAAACCTGAGTTGAACTTCAAGGGTCCTCAGCTCCAAAACAGTCCTGCCATGTGGACCCTCTGGCAATGAAGACCCCATGCCCTCTGTTCTTTTCATGAAACAAACGTGGGTTATTTCTTTCTCCATGAAGGAAGAGAGTTTAGCAACATGTTGTTTAGCCCACAAACAGTTATAAGTGCTAAATATCTACATGAAAGATGATGACAAGCTTTGTGGGAATTATCTAATACAGCAGAGAGTGGCCTTGCAAAAGGTGGAGTCAAAAAAAAAAAAAAAGAGGAAACAAGAACAAGGATTTGAAAAGCATTTTTCATCTTACTGCCATGCTCTCTATTTTATGATGCTGACATAGTACTTGAAACTGCTGCTAGATGGGAGTTGCGCCTGCTCCAGAAGTCACTTGTAAGTGACAAATGTAAGGCCTTTTAGGATGTGCATTATGCCTTACATTTTGCTAAGAATCTAAGTATCAAGTATTCTAATATTCTAATGGGAGACCACTCTTAGGAAAAATTACCACTTTACCACAATATGCCAGTGTCTTAAGCAATCATTAACCTCTTACCCTAGAACTGTTATCGATTTGAGTTCACTTTCCAAAAGCTGCCTACTCAGCTTCTGAAAATTAGAACCAGTTTCAGACATGGCCCTATGGCTCCTACTGACTTTAGCTGAAATGAGAGATGTATTGAAATGTGTCCTGTGTTACAGTGTGGAGAGCTCTAAAGTTGGAACTCAGCTGATGTAAATCATCAGCCAATGGTGAACTTACATGAGTTGGGATCTGCTCCCCAAAATGTTTCCCTCTCCCTACAATGCTATAGCAATTCTTTAAAAGCATCCAGTACCTCCTTGTTTGGAGATATCACAAAAAAGAACTACTCCCAAGATGGAAAAAAGTTAATTGCAATATGTACACAGCTGCCATCAAGATGCTGTAAATTAGAATATAAATGATTAAAATATATGGAAAACTTAATTACAACCCACACTTATGAAATTCAGATAGACTGCCACAACATTGCCTGTATAGAAATTGGAAGTTAATAGTTTTCATTTTGCAACAGACTTTGATGGAGGTAGATTTCAAGAGAAAGCATGTTTCAGACTTCAGTACCCAACACAGCAGAGGTACAATCACTTTCTGACTCAATAAACCATAGCAAGATTTTTAACTGGGATATTTGGGTAATGAAGACATCAACATCAAGGTGAGAGCCTCCAAATAACAGTATTGCTAAGGCTTTAAAAGCTGTTAGTCCTTGTAGTTAATCTACCCATAATGAAAAGCTCAGGATGTTTATAACATGTTCACAATTGGTCATACAATAAGGAAATGTGCTCCTCCATTCTAAGCAAGCTGAGAGTAATGGAGAAGCGCTGTTGTGAGCCTTGCTGAGAGGGAATTAAGGTAATCAGACCTAGTCATCAGAGAAGCTGTGGCAAGATCATCACAGAACAACAACTGGGCTAGAAAAATCACTAGAAAATCACTAGAAAAATCACTTTTGTGTTAAGTATAATACTTATCTTACCATGGAAGAAACTAAACATTACAATGGGGGCATGTCTACAGAAGACGCTACAGTGCTGTTGCGACATGCTCCCTCATTATAGCGCGTTGCTACGGTGATGTATTGGCCAAAAATAACCATGCGTGGCTGGCACAGAGCGGTATGGGCTGTTACTGCGTTGTCTTTTGGTACTTCCAAAAGGAAGTACTAAATGACAGTGTAGTAACAAAGGCACCATATGGCCACTTGTAGATGCATCCTGGGAGTCTTAACCTGGATCACTATTGCTGAACTAATTCTTTCAACAAATGAAACCTTCTATTATAACTTCTTCATATAAGCAATATCCACCAGTATCAACTTTGTTTTCTCAGCACTGAGCAGGAGATAGTTTTGTGTATCCTGGCTATGACAGTCATTAAGAAAGAAGATAAAATGCAAAGACGACAGCCAAGATGCAGAAAGACGTACATCCTGTATTCAAAGGGTGTGTCTACATGTGCACATTTACTGTGCAGTACATGTGGTGACTTATGCTGACTTGAGCATAAATTTGATCATGCAGGTACCAAATTTACACCCAATTAGTTACTGCGCAGTAACGTATGTGTAGGTGCATTATTATGCAGTAACTCAGGGGTCCTCCCTGCTGAGCCTGTCCAGCCACTAGAGGACCAGCCTGAGCCCATGCCTAGGGCTCCTGGCTGGCCACCTCTCCTGGCTTCAGTTTGGGACTAAAGTTAATCCCAAGGGCTGGCAGCCAAGTGGCTGGAGGCTGGCGTTACCCCTGGTGGCCACAGGGACACATGGCAGGCTGCTCTGACCTGGGACAAAATGTAGTCCCAGGTTGCCTGCATATGTACATGCCGGCCTATTCCTGCTTACTGTGCAGTAATTTACTATGCTGTAAATTTAAGTCAGCACATGCATGCACATGCAGACATGCCCAAATAGTAGGTGTTGCAAGTTTAGGGAGAATATGCAGTAAAGTGCAAAAGGTTTAAAGTGAAAAAAGGAACTGATCTTTAATTATGGAGAATCAACTCTCCCTTGATAATGATACCAGAGTTCTAATGATTCTCTCTCTTTAAAATTCGTCTCCCTAACTGAGGCTAAGCAGTATTTCAAATTTTGTCACATTTCAAATCTGTCATGAAAAATTGCATTTGTCCATTATCAGAGATGGACTTCTGTCTTCCAAGTGTGACTGGAGCCAAGCCTCCAGAACCAAGAGATGTTTTCTGGAGAAGTAGACAGATCTCTGAATGTTAAAAATTTGGTAGCCATGTCTACCAGCATTAAATCTTAGAGTAATGGCATGACAGCCAAAGTACTTCATTTAAACCAGAATTGCAGCTGGTGGGTCCCAAAGAGCCATCTGAGCAATGAAGCCAAATGCAATCAAAAGGAGGCAGTCCATCAGAATCCAGTGATTCCCATAGTCCAGAGACAAAACAAGACTTCCCACTCCAGGACAAAACCGAAATCTATGAAGAGCATAGCATATGGAATCTCTATCAATGGAAGTGTAGGTTAGACAAATATTTTGTCACAGGTGATTTACATGAGGAAGATCCTGCCTTGAGCAAGGAATTATACTAGGTAACCTCCTGAAATCCCTCCTAGAGCTCTGATTCTATGCAATCAGTGTTCTGTGGTTCTTAGAAAGGATTGCGGCATTTCAGAGTTATCTAACTGCATGTCGCCTGTAACAATTTTGCGGGGAACTCTCTAATGTTTCCATTGAGGACAGGTAACTTAATATTAGACAGCTCTTTCAAACAGCTGCTGAAAGTCATTGTGGGTTGGGAGAAAAAAAAAAACATGATCCTAAGCATAACCTCAAAACTCATTTTCAAATGTCCAAGAATAAAATGTTTAAATATCATAGAAAAGATTACAGACTCATGTATAAAGTATTACTATATTATGGTTACTTTCCTTGCTTCTTGTGTTCACTGATTTTGTATCTGCAGAACTGTTTTTTTCTTCGAAAAGTTCAGGAAATGTGTATTGTCATTGTAGTAGAGTAACACAAGGTTTATCCCCTAAAAACAATACAATGGACACTCACATTTCAGATGAACTTCAACCTTATATGTTTTCTTTCAACTGTGACCCATATTTTCAAAAGATAAACAAGTTACTCCATGTGATAAGTCAGTTCACAAGTGACTGCATGACTTATGTCAATGCATGTGTAACTGGAAACTTAAGAGATACATAAAACATTACCATATTGCCTCATAAAAATATATGCTGACCTTCATTAAAACATTGTGTTTATTTTTCCCTAAAAGCAATTAAGGGCTATATCATGAGGACTGCAGACACGTCCAGACCAGGGGGGAGAGGACTAAAATTGGACTAGTGTGTCTGAACAGAAGTCCGAGGAGAGACTTTACCTCTAGATGACCCCTGTCTGAGCAATTCTAAATTACCAAAAGAGTGGGCAGGTTATATCATCCGTTTGGTCAATCTACACTAGCTTCTCCTAACACTAACCATAGTGAAACGCTGTGTAGAAAAGGAAGAGATTTTTTTTCACAATAATATAACTTAAACCTAAAAACACCTGTGTCCTATCTATATTAATATACTCGTGCATGGCTATGAATGATGTGACGATAATTCAGTAATGAATTCCCTGAAAATGTCAGCGAAGCTTTTGAATGACGTATCATGCTCTTTTCTCCATTTCCTACCATCTCTTCTGGCTGACAAAGGGAGATGAATGGCATAGATGTTAGATGAGGGTCGGAAGGGACCTCAACAGATCATCGAGTCCGACCCCCAGATCATCGAGTCCGACCCCCAAGAAGGCCTACCTTCTTCTCACCTCTTTTGAGATAGTTTGTGCAGACAAAAACAAATTGGGCTAGTAAAAGTGGAAGAGGCTGAAGCTGTTCCTCATACTTGCATTGTACGGCTTTCTGGATTCTGTAAATACTAACCCCATCCTCTAAACAGGGAACTAAACAGCATCTAGTAGTTCCCCCCCCCACACACAAACACTTTTCAGGGGACTCTTGCCCCCCAATAACGGTCCAAACTATGTCCTCGGTTACACAATTCTTTTGAACAGCAGGCCAATTCTGCTCCTTTAAAAAAGTCCTATACATTGCCGGAGAAGATACAAAGCATTCCTATTTCATCATTCATCTTTAGAAGCATGTTTAGAAACAGGTGTCTGAACTGTAATAAGGTTAACTGAAGTCTCCTTACTTACAGAATCATGAACGTCCTCTTCTCATCTCAAACTGTCATCAGCCTGCAATTGTTTAACTATTTCAGAAAACGGAAAACATTTAGGTCACATGGCTACAGGCTGCCTTTGGGTTAATCTCCCACAGCTTATAAAGGCAAAAAGAAAGCAGGAAAAAAAAAGTAAAATAAAACCACTTCCTGCAAAGTAGGAGTCTACAAACTCACTAATAAGTCACTTACCTCTCACTCTACCCTTCCATAGTAGATAACAGACAAATGCTAAAGTACAAAAGCAGTTTCTTTGTTGAATTACTACAAATGCAGAGGGTAATGTTTACTTCTTTGCAGAAGGTAAGCATATGGTTTAAAAAGAAACACTGGAAGGAATTATGATTCTAAGCCCTGAGACAACTTCCCTTTTCTTCTAGAAAACGCTCCGAGTACTAAAATAAAAAGCTTGCAGCAATCTGCTTGCACTGTTTTGAAATGGAGGTTTATAAACACAACACCTACCATGCAGTTAAGTTGGACCTATAAAGCAACAACTCTAAGAATAGTCAGTATTCAGCATGTACTAGAAAAACAAGCATGTTTGAACTGCAGGCTAGTTACATTTCTGTGGGTAAGCACTTCTGCTTCTTCAACTTTTTTTTCAAACTTCTGTGACATTCGTTGAGAAGCAAGCATGCTCAGCTGCTTCTCTCTGTTACAATCAACATTAGTGCCTTTCAGGTGAAATGAACCTGTGGAATTAGTAAATTTGGCTGCAGATAGGGTACAGTTAGCATCTTCAAAGCTCCATGAAAGCAAGCTTTATTCCCATGAAAATTTTCATAAATAGTTCCCAGGCTTGCCTCCATAGTACCTTTCCTTTACTCAGTAGGAAGGATGATACTTCTGTATTTAGAAAAATGCTTATTCACTTGCTATCAAAGGTCACCTAAACCATTATGAACAGGCAGCGCTCTCTCTCTACAGTACCCACTCCTGCTGCTGTCAGAGATTGCCTTCAGACTAGACAGACCATTGGCCTGACCCAGTTAGGCAGGGCTTCAAGCACTCCAGTGATCAGCGATGCCTGAATGAGTTGATGGTGAGGTGAACTTGTACTACTGAAAGAAGGAGGCTCTTCTAAGGCTACGTGGCAATGGGAAAATGAGGGGGGAGAGGAAATGTTAATTAGGCACAATGAGTTGTCATGGCATAAAAGCAGCATTGTGAATTTTTTAGGGACAAGGAGGCTGAAATGGAACTGAGAAGAGCCTTAAACAGGAGGGTAAAGACCAGAGCTACAAGACCATAGCTACATAGAATGACATTTTTCCTAGGCAGAATACTATCAATTGCTGCAACAAATGGAAGACTCCTTGGCAAGAAACACATTAAACATGGAATTTTGTTCATTCTTACAGATAACTAGCAGTAGTGTGGGGTCACAGAAGAAAATGAAGGAACCTATAGCTGCTGAAGGACAGCAGTAGTAGTGCCTTGGAGACTTAGTCCTGAAGACAGGATACATTTATATCGGTGTAATCAGCTGTTTTATCAGTGTAAAGAAAACAGGAGTGGACAGCTGATATAACCCCCTTCACCAGGATTATTTCACCCAATATGGTATAGAATTGCCTCTAGAAGAATCAGGGATAAAGCTATGCTTGTGTATGGTGTAATTTAATTGGTGAGTAATATCAAGTGTAGATGTGTCATTGTTCATTGGCCCAGACCATATAAGGAACAGGAGCCCATTGTGTTAGGTGCTGTATAGACAGACGCACACACAAGAGCGTCCCTGCTCCTAACTACACAGGAGACAAGAGACAACAGATGGGACAGTAAATGTAGGACAAAAAGACATGTCTTTCTTGGTCAGTATGATAAGCAGTAGGCTTAGCATACCAGCAGCATACCTATCACACTATGGAAGTATGATTTTAAATAAGAGTTGTAAAAAAGGAATTTGAAGGAGAAAATGAAATAGCTTTACAGAGGTTTATGGGAAGGTCATATGAAGTGTGATGGGTGTCTGAGAGCAAACATGAACATACTTGTTTGAAAATTTAACAAGTGGGCAACTGTGAATGCTTAAAAGTAGCAGTGCTTAAACTCAGCACAAAGCTGATCCACAGCAAGTGACAGATAGTTAGAATTCATTTTTTCAAAACAGTTATTTTGTGATATCAATCCTAGCTCTAGACAATACAATACAACTGTAATTCTCAGGTATTTCTACAATAGCTGTTTTAATCTGTTTTATGTTGTAAATACCTGTAGATTAGCATTACATGATGGCAAAATTGAATTTGTTACATCCACTGTATTACTAAAATGTAAACTAAATATCACAATGCTGATATATAATAGGGAGTGTCTATGGTACAGTATCCAAAACCTAGATTAACAGGATATATGATACTTTTTAGTGAAATAGACTAAAAAATGTTAAATGTATGGTGTAAAACAGTTGCATATTCTGCTACATTACTTCCTTCTAATTCCCTTAGCATCCCGTTGACAGTATGTCAGTAGTGCCAAAATGCTATAAAAGGATGGTAGCTTTGCATATTGCTTAAACTTGTAGCATACTGGCTTCCTGTGTGATCTCTGGAAGGCTGAAAACATGTTAAATGTGTGTAACACCAATTTAGTCATAATGCAAACTTTCTTCGTACCTTAAGTAAGCTAAGCAGGAAACAAAACTCCATAAACATTACCTGAAATAGATAATGCGGTAGCTCAATTGTTCAGCCCTTGCTAGACTCCAATATCTGGCATTTGAAAATAAACTTTGTTCCCTATCTGCATTTCACGGCTACTCAAGTGGTCATACAATGGATGATGATATATATGCTATGTTATGCATCAGAATGTACAGAAATCATAGCTAAAACAGCAGGATACTGCAGCAGGATACAAAGACTAAACATGTAGAATATTTTAAAATTGTTTGAGGATACTGATTTACAAGAAGTTCTTACAAACTGAAGTCTAATATTTATGCACAGAAAAAAGTAGTCAACTCAGGCAGACAGAAGTTTTCTCTTTTTTTTTTTGCTATCAATCTAAGGCAAAGCTTAGGCACAATCTGTAATGGTGATGGAACTGCACAACTTTTTTTTTTAATTCAGTTCTTAGTCTCTGCTAAGGAGACTAAGGTGATATGGACAGCATTCCATTATATAGTAAACTGATTAATTGAATGTATATCACTGGGTATCACTTAGGACAGCAATGCTCAATCTTCTGGTCTTGTGGGCCAGATAAGTGACTTGAGGCCAGTCTACAGGCCTGACTGAGCCCTGAATGACAGGATCTTACCCCAGGATCTCTGCCTGGCCCTGTGCCACTGCTCTCTGTCCCATGCTGAACCACATGGCCCTGCACCAAACCAGTACCCAGCTTGGCTCCATGCCCTGATTGGCCTCCCACTGGCCCATGCTGCCCTGCTTGGCTCTGTGTTACCTGCCATCATCCAGCTCATCACCATGCCACCATAATCAACCACTCTGATTGACCCTGCATTGACATGCTTAGTCTTTTACTGTCCTGATTGGCCCTGCACCACCCTACGCTGCCCTGCTTGGCTGTGGGCTGGATAACATGGCTACATGGGCTGGATGTGGCCATGAGTTAGGGGTTGAGCAACCTTGACCTAGATGCTAATTACTGTCGCAATCAATCCAGGCAGCAGCTACATGGAAGCCTTGAAGTAAGTGCCAGGCATCTCAGCCTAGCTGCTCTTCTCAGCCATCACATTCCCACAAAAAAAATTTCAAACAGTCAGTTGACTCTAAAGTAAAAGAAATTTGTGTTGACAAAACTAAAGAGAGTTCCAAAGCTTTGCTTTGCACAAATTCCCTGGAGAACTGAAAGCATTTCTAATACATTACAAAATTCAAAAGCAAGAATGTAATCTTACTTTTGCCCAAATTCTTCATTAATTGGTAAATGTTCTTTTCCAGATTCTCAACACTAAAAAGCAGAAAAGACATGAGTTCATCAACATGGACAAGAAAATATCCTCTTGCCTTTATCAATGTTATCTATGAGATGGCCAGATAGCGAATGATGGAAACAAGTCAAGCCAAGCTGATTTCAGTAGCACACAAAACCTGCAGATATAGGTGTATCTGGCAGTGTGATCCAGAAGCTAATAGTGGAATGACACGAAAACTTTTAAAACTTACTGGGTCGGTTTCTTTTGTAGGCCCTATCAATTACAGCTACAAGGGGAAAAGAGTAAGATTCACCTCATCCTCCAATATGTGTTTCTCATTCCCAACCTAATTACAGGGTTTACTGCTCTGTTTTCACATTCAGCATTTCTGTAATGGAAGCAAATCTAATTTTTAAAATCTGTTTTTACATTAGTAATATTGAGACTGATGTTAATGAAAATTTTATCTGGGTAAAAAAAAGTATATATTGATCCCAGCTTCCTCTGTAGCTGGGACTTTGTACCTCTAATTTTAGGATCTTGTCATTTATTTAGAAGACCAGTGTCATATGCTGGCATCTTTGAGACTTACGAGGTGCAACTGACAAAAAAAAAGGCACTACAGTCCATCCTTTTATAGTAAAACTGAACTAAAAAGAAAGGAAAAACAAGCATATGTTGATGCATTATTTAAAGACTGTCTTTGACATGGTTTAGCATCATGCAAACTTCAAATGCACTGCAAACACATTTTTGTGAATTTTAGACCTTTGAGTGCTAAAAGTGCTAGAGTAGGAGTACTGAAGTGCCAAAAAAGGTATTTTGTCATCGCAAAATAAAGGGCCTTTATAAAAGACAAATAGATTGTACACATTTAAATCACAATATTTTAATCTCTGGATTAATGATGATGGCTTTCTAGTCCAGGTCGCAACCAGGTTTCTTGAAAAATCTTTCTTCAAAGCACCTTCTTACCCACATTAGATCAGGGTTCAGCTGCAACTCAAGGAGCATCCCAGGACTTGTGACAAGAACACCCAGTTCCAGTCATGGGAGCAAATTAGAACACGGATCCTTTGTCGGGGGGTATCTGGAGTACACACACATATTGGATAGTGCTGAACCACAGTGTCACCATGGCTTGACATGTGTTGAGTCTG